GGGCTCCCAGCTTTTCCAGGAGAATGTAGTGGGAGGCGCTGTCAAAGGCTCTGCTGAAGTCCATGTAGACAACACCCACAGCCTTTTCCTTCACCCTCTGGGTGGGTCACCTGGTCATAAAAAGAGATTTAGTTGATCAAACAGAACTTGCCTTCATAAACCCATGCTGGCTGGGCCTGATCCCCTGGTTGTCTTGAGTAGTGGAGTATGCTTTTGTTCACCCAACATTCTGATTTTCTGTAGAACTGGCTGCTGGCAATTAACTTGCCTTTCACAATATCAATACAACTGAAAGGAATGAACACACTTTTTTATGCACAAAATAAAAATCTGTCTTACACTCTGACATTAAGTTGACCAAACAGATTTTATGAGCTATGAAAGCTATATCTTGGTAAGCTGAAATCAGATGGAGTAAACTTGATAAAATATGTGGTATGGGAGCAATTCTTATGCCATGAAGAATTGATTTAATATTTCTTAGTCTCATTTAATTGCTATTAGAGATGACCACAGTCATGATTTATTTAGTTGAATGGTCTGCTCTTTCCCATTGTAGTCCACTTTTAGTCAGTCAATCTGAAAGCCATAAAATTAATCCTGGTCACTCACATGTGAAATTAAGCATTGCAAAGCATTCAACTTTAAGGCTGCATACTCTAAATCCTAAAAATTATTTTTACATAGGTCCTGAATTTTTGATCTGCAAGTAATAGGATTGTCTTTCCTTATGTGGTTTTGTGTGCACAAGACATTTCTCCCATTTTGTATATAACATAAAATATATGCCCTGCTTTTCAAAATATACTCAGTTGTTAGGTAATAATACCTAGGAAAAAAACATAAGGAAAGCTAAATCTAACCACAGGAACTTTATTTTAATCTGTTGAGGACAAAAAGGGGTGGAAATAAAGGAAAGGAAAAAAAGGGGGACTTTTCTCTTAAAATGGCTTAGTATTTAAATCAGTCTGGACTTTAGTGGGTGATATAATTCTCTTTAATCTTTTTTTACAATTAATTTTTTGGTTACGCTATTTAATGCCTGTAAAATATGGGGTCATAGTGCCCATTGCTATGACTTGTCATCATTCCACTGAAGTGAACAGAACTAGCAGAAGATCTACCAAATATTTACTTTCTGTAAGCTCTGAAATCTCTCCTTAGCATAGCACTAAAAAATATGTTTTTATTCCCTTTTATTTATGTGTACTGCCAGCATTATTTTTCTCCATTCAAACTTTCACATGTGTTAATGGATTAAAGTGTGCATCTAGGTGAGGTTAATTATCCTTAATTTCACAGATTCTTTGAGATCATCCCCTTTCCATATGCAAATAGAAAATTATTTCTGCACTTCCAACACTGTTGAATTTTCCTTATTTATCTTCTTACACCCTTTGGTGTGTAAGAACGTTCACACTATTTATTCTCCTCACGCACTAGTCTGTCTGAACATCACACAGGTGGATCAACTTTTTTTTAATTGTTCTCTATAATGTTTCTCCAGGTCCCCCTTTCTTCTCCTCCTGAGGGAATGTCTGCAGCCTGACCATTTATTATGTTATTCGTAGTATCAACAGCACCAAAGAAACTTTCTTTTTTTTCTGATGAATTTGCAGTCTAGACAGTGTACAAACAGACCAAAGGATGTAGGCTGCAGAAGGCATGATTGATGAGAGAAATCCAACCAGTAGCTCTCCATACCATGACTCTTGTTGGCCTTTAAAAATGTTTTTTGAGGGAATACTTTCTGGTACTTATTCCCAAATTTACACTCAATAATTTGTATCTTCAATTTAGTGTATTGAAATCATGCTTAGTGAAAGAAGGAGAAAGGTCCTGTGGGCCTAACACTTCCTTTTCTTCCACTTTCTTTTCCTCCTCTATCCCAGTCTTATATTAGGCTTGTCAGAGGTGTTACATATTTGGTATTCTCTTGCCTCCTACTTCTCCAACGCACATAAATCCGTTCAACTCTATAACCTTCGTGATATTGCCAACATACAACACTCTTGATCAATCCACTGTGAAAATTCCTGCTGCTGCCTTCATTTCCTCCTGTAATTCACAGCTCTCAGGCAGTTAACAGCTGCAATCCTCAGTAGGATTGGTACTCACACAGTATGCTATTACAACTCAACATGTTTTGGACAGAGACTACCATGTGTTTTAATTTCTAAAATCTTCAATAACTTGGTCTCTTAATTGTATCAGAACTTGAATTTGTTAGCATGTTTTCACTGAATTCCTCCTTCTAAATCAGCTTGCATTGACTTGATAATCTTAAGGTCTTTTTCAACCTGAATGATTCCATGATCATAGTTAATTGCTTCCCTGACCTTAGGTGTAGTACCATTCAATGTCAGCTCTGTCTGCTACAGTAAATTTTTCATTCATTTTTAACTCCGGATTCTTCCCTCTTCAGATCAAAGGCTTCATGGTGAGTGATTAAAAAGAGGACTATTAAGTGGGTAGAAATTGAATAGATGTGAGGGATTTGAACAGGGAAAAAGATCATATGTTTTGGCAAAAATTGATGCCACTTAGTTCTGCTGCCTGAGAGAGATGATTATAATAATTGAAGTTGACCACAATTAGACCTTTAAATTTGTATTGCTTTGAACTGAAGCATTTTTATTTAAATTCTTCACTCATAGCCTTTGCATGTGCTATTCAAAGTCTGAGGACTGCATAATTTACAAGAAAGAAAACAAGTCACTAGACGTAATGGGCAAAACTTCTAACAATACCCTCAAATTTTACCTGTAATTAATCACTCATGCTCAATTGCAGACACAAATGTTAGCATTTACGCATGTAACTGCATGCAGGCACAGGCACACAGAACCTTTCAGCATCGTCACCTCTGTTAGATTTCAGGCAAGAGAAATAAATGGAGATTCTTTTCTTATAAGGGCCAAGTGAATTATTGTTTCATAACATTATTGTGGTAGAGTACTGAGAGCACACTAGATGTATGTTCTGTTCTTGCTTTTATGACAAATAACAAAGTACAAGGCTGGAGAAATATACATGTTGTAGACTTGATTTACATACAACTGTAAGGAATTTTTAGGGCCGGGTCTTTGTTTTGCTGCACAAGTATGAGTTTTGCTTTTAACTTGTCCAGAACGAGTGGTTGGACTGAGGTCAGGAGTGGCTGCATGTTGTACCCTGAGCTGCAGCTGTGGGATGCAAACTGTAAGGGTGGGAGAGGGGAATGAAGGGCTCTATGAGCACAGGGTTCTCCTAAAGGAGCTTTCTTTTTTGCAGAATCAGAAACTCTGGTATAATAGCCTTTGGAGTAGTGAGAAACCATCTTGTGGGAGGAAAGGTGTTCTGGTGTATGTGGTGCAGTCACAGTGATACTTCTGAAATACGGCAAATCTTGAGCATTCCATGCAGAAGTGGAGAAGTCTTAAAAACAAACAAAAATGAAACCACAACAAGCAAAAAATAGTAATTGAAACAACACATATATCTTCTGGGATGTCACTTGGAAATTCTGATGGATATAACTAATCTAGAATAAGTTGTAGCTTTATAATTTGCCTTGGCACTTTTTATGTGGTTTCCTTCCCTTTCCCCACTTCCATGCTTTTCACCCTTCTCAAGACGTGTTTTGTTCATTTGGTTTTAATTCAGTCCCAGTTCACTGTCTTAGTGCCAAAACAATTCCTGTGCAGACGAAGAAGTGAGCTTGTAATGAAGGCACCAACTTGTCTTTATGGCCATGTTTGTATCAGTAGGAGCAACAGCCAAAGGCTGTTCTGGGTCCCAAGGCCAAATGACCTGGCACAACTTCTGTTCATGCAACTAAATTAATTTACATCCCCAAAACAGGATGACCTAATCCAAACTTACTGCTAGCAGTACGCCCTGGCTGGGCCTGGTTTTGGGGTTTTTTTTGAAACTGTACCTAAAACTGTGCCAGCTGTTTTCCTGTACAGGAAAACCTGTGCAGACCTCCACCTTTGCACTGCCCGTGGTTGATGGCTGTGGGTCTCACCAACCTGTGTCAGGTGCAGGCAATGGCTAGCACAGGTCTTCTCTGTGAACTCCCACCAATTCTAACTCTTGGGCTTTGTGATACTAAAGTTTCCAAAGCTCTGTCAAGGTCTTCAGACATTGTGCTTGTATAGACAAGCTGATGGAAAAAACACAGAATTTATAATTTTCAAAGAATAAGTAGAAAAGGAAACCAACTGAGAAGGAAAAATTCTGTATGTATCTCCAATAATGACAAATTAGGGAACTGAAAATACTGGCTTTCTTAATGTATACATATTTCTATAAATTATTTTCTACTGAAATGTTTCTGAATTTGAGTGAAAGCTTTCACAATGGAACATTCCGAGAAGAGCCAAACTCTGCACAAAACACTTGTTATCAGAGATGTTAGGGCAATAAAACTGAAGGTGCAGTGTACAAAACTATTCTCTTTATCAAATACATTTTAAATTAATTCACCTGTGGTCCAAAGAGCATAAGTACCACCAAGCTTGCACTCAAATGAAAACTAAATTAAGCTCTAGGAAGTCTTTTATAAAATACATTAGGTAGGGATGTCCTGCAGCACTTGTCTGATCTATATGTGACATATTTTCATAAGACCTACCTCCACTGGTAAAAATAACACGAAGGGAAAGTAGCTTAATGTATGGCCTACAGTCATGGCTTAATAAGCATGGCTTTTCCAGTCCTGGGAAGTTTACTTGATTGAGAAAATTATTGACAGATACACAAGTAATTTTAAAGACAGGTCTAATGGAACTTATATGCTGGAACTTACATGCAATAATTACACTGTCAGTACCTGAGTTATTTTATGAACTGCAGACAGACAGCTTAGGTAGCAGAGCGTGCTTGTATTTTTTGTGTGTATGCACATTTGCTTTTACACCACAAACAGGTAACTTTTATTCAAAAATCATGGACACCTCATTTTAATGAGTAATAGTTTCATTGGCTTCATTTTTATCTCTGTTTTCTACCTGCAGGTCAAAGCAACAGATGCAGATGCTGACCAGTTTGGTGAAATTGAGTATTCTCTTTATGATGGATTTCATTTTTATGAAAAATCCAAAGCCTTCCAGATTGACCCACGAACTGGTCAGATCTGTGTCTCTCAAGACATTGACAGAGAAGAAGATCCAACCACTTATGACCTCTTAGTAAAAGCTACGGATGGGGTAAGTTTCACCTTTCCATACTGCCAGATTTGTGAATGCACTTGGAGATTTGGATATGCTGCATAGTTTTAAATGAGAATGTCATGAGTACGTAAAAACTGCATGAATTTGAATAAAATGTCCTATCTTTAAAGAGAGCAGAAAATAATACTTCATGAACTGTAAATTTTGACCCAAATTAATCAAATCAGCTTGTGATATTCCCAATTACTGATAAACAAGTTGTTGAAAAACATTTCTAGGGTGTGTTATTCCCTGCTGATTTTCCTCCTCCTCTTGGAACTAGTGGACTCCAGGTTACTTCTGCTCCCTTCTTTCAAGATGACTGGTGGTAGAACTGCATGGCTACTGTTGGTGACAGTGATTTTCCTGGATAAATTCCTTGTCCTTTCTAGCTGGCTGATGCCATTGCTACTTCTGAGGCTGGGTACAGCCTCTCTGCAGCAGCATGTCTGAGTTTTCCCACTTTACAAGATTGGGTGCTTGCAAGTGGGTATTTGTGGTACAGCAAGAGCAGGATAGTTGTATGTGCCTGAAATTACCCATTTCAGATCTCTGTTTGGCAAGGAGGGTGAGGACACACTTTGTTGTGTTAGGAACACATCGAGATGTCTAGACCCCTTGTCTACCTAATGCCACTTAACAGAAAATTTTGGTAGTGCAACTCCAGAAAAACACTGAAACAGAAAATTATTAATTTCATTATTTTCACAGCAAAATATTCATTTTGTTATAAAAATATCCAAAGGTGATTTGTAATGGGAGTCCCAGCCTGTACTTGTCTTCACCTTCATCACTTTTAGTAATGAATTGTGAAGAAGCTGAAGAAAAAGAATACTGATTGGCTTCAAATGTTAAAATTAACATAAAGACACTTTTCAAAATGTTATTCAGGCCACATTTTGCAGTAAAATTTGAACTTAAAAGCATTGAAATTGAATTATTTCAGGCTATGTAGTCTTTATTTCATACTTTGGACATTAAACTTGCATTTAAGATAATGTCCTAAGTGTATCTAATTTTTTTAAAAATGCAGTTGTGCTGGTAATACTGTATTTTTCATTAAAATGTCTGTGCTTTTTGTTATAGTACACCGAAAAAACTTAGCGAACTATGATTTCCATATTCATGACTAGATCAATTTATCTGCAGTTGACAGTTGGTATTAATTATTGCATTTTAAGAATGTAGCAGTATGAGGGTCTCTATTGTGTTGAATTTGGATATATGTGTAATAATTAAGCAGTTAATCTGATTTTTCTTCTTTAGCTGTCACAATTCAGTGTTTTTTCAGAGGCTACAGAAGTATTCCCTTTTATTAATAGTACCTTTAGCAACATGGCTTTTCTTCCCCATAGATTTCCTTAGGGGAGAAACAATTACATAAATATATTTGTATGTTTGTTTCCTGACTCATTTAAATGTCTAATAACTTGACCCTGCTCATTGCAGGAGGGTTGGACTGGATGACCTTTGAAAGGTCCCTTCCCACTCAAACAATTCTATGATTCTATGATTTTAGTATAAGGATATAAGGGTGGGTATTTTTAGGACAGTGTCTGCAATCCTTATAGCAGAGGTAGTTCTATGTAACCATTTTGGAATTTCACTGATATGTGATTTCTGTCTTCAAAATTTGTACTTTGTACAGATATCCAAACCTTGAAGAGTAAAGCAGTCAGTATTGCAGTGTATAACAGCAGAAAATTATCTGTTCTTCTATACCTAAAAATTTCATTTTTCCTTTAATTAACATGCTTTGAAGCTATATAAGTTTAAGGAAAACATACCCATAGCTGGAATATCAAGATTAGTCATTAATAAAGGTTATGTGAGAGCTGGACAATAGCAGTGAAATTTTGACAAGTTTCTAAGATACTTAGTCTGGTACAGAACGTTATTTTGAAAATCTGAAAGGAAATATGTTTCCATGAAAAAATCTTGATGCATTTTTTAATTTTTCTTAGTTAAATTATTGCTCTAGTGATGAGTCTTTTTGCAAAAGTTAAACAGCCAATGCATTGAAACTATAGAGTACTTAATTTTCAAATTGGTCTTTCATTTATCTTCATTAGGGACCTTGTGTTTTCACAAGTTCAGTAATGGGGAGAAGGGTTCAGTTTTTGATTACCTTGTCTGTGACAGGCAAGACTTGATCTTTTTACTGAAAGTCAGCACTTTGTAGATCCCACTGATATATCTTCTAAAACTTTGCCCATCTGACACCTAAATACTAAAGCACCTAAATTCAATATTAGCTTTTCAGCATTTTTGGTATACCTGAACTTTTGTTGAGTCACTCTCCACATTTACAGCAGAGTTATAGTAGAATATTTATTTGATCTTCTGGCACTGTGCTGCTGGTTTTGATGGCTTAATGATGCTAGGTGTGGGCCTCAAAGTAGAGGCTATGATCAGGGGAGAAATGTGTCTAGAAAAAAGAGAGGAAGAGTGAAGTGTCACTGTTGACAAAGGAGGGGAGAGAGGTTAAAAGCAAAGAAAATAACACAGTTAATTAGAAATGATGAGGAAAAGGAAGTATTTTCCAGGTGGTGCTCAGTTTATCTTACAGCAAAACTATCAGTTTCCTCCACCTGTTCATGGCTACTCCATTACATGGGTTTGGAGTTTGTCAGTTGTGTCTTTAATGCGTTATGTAGAAAATGTAGTGAGTGAACTTAAGTGGCACACAAGAGCCTGTGGAGAGGCAGATGGAAAACAACTTCTGTTAAACTGTTGTTAAATGAGCATCCCATGAGAGCTTGTGGGAGCACTCCCATAGATTAGGCGAAGATGGAAAGAAGCATCCTTGTATCTTCTGTAAGAAATGCTAGGTCTTGGGTTTTTCGGCTGCTACATTATCATTGCAAAAGGTTCAGTACACCATCAGCAGGTGTATTAGTGAGTTACTACCTTTCTGCATAGAAAGATACTTTGTTCTTTGTCCTTTGCTTTTTGGTAAACCACTCTGCTTATCCGATTTTCTTTGTCTTTTACACTGAAGCAATTGAAACATTGAAACTTGACATTCACGGGCAAAGCTTCTGAACAAATTAAGGCTTTTGAAATAAATGGAGACATCTCTCTACTTTGACAGCTTTACAATTTCAAGTTGACATCCTTTAGGTTTACAAAAAAAAAGAGTCTGCATGTCAGATTCTGTATCTAACAGTTTAGTTTGGAACAAAAATTTGACAGCACCACTGACAAAAACATTGGAGGCTGTAATGAAAATCTTGATGGAGTTTTAAGCATTTTACAGCTCCAAAATGAAGAAATACAGCTATTCAAAATAGCACCATTTCTACTTATTAAGACAAAGACTCTTTCCTGCCAAAGGCAGGGTAACTTTTTTTCTGAGACACGATAAAAAGGTGTAGTAATAGCTTCATATTTGCACACAAATTTTGTCCTGACAAAGTAAAGAAATTTTTTTTGATGGTTATTTTGCCTTAATGGTAGTTTCTTATGCCCCCTTTTTGTTCCACAGGGGACACAACTCTTGGGACTCTGACAAAGAAGCTGCTATAATTGTGACTTTTTGTTGCATCAAACACCACAACAGTAGTTAAAAATACTTGAACATATGAAATAAGGGATTTCAAAATGAACAACTGTGGCTTTCTGTTGCTTGTAACAAATGTAATTTTCTGTCAGCAACAGACTCATTTAAATCAGCCTTCATGTTTTGCAACATCCATGTTTTACTTGCTTCTGAGTAGATAAGTGTACCTATGTTGTTAGAAATAAGAGTACGTTGTTCCTTCTCACTTGGGATGATATTTAAAATTTTTCAATAGCCAGCGCAAAAACTGGGGCAGTTAATACTGTAAGTTGATAAGCTAATATCATACTTGACTCGTGTGAAGGTATACACTGCTTTTTCAGGAAAAGAAGGTTCTGTCTCTATCATAAAATTTGGTCTGTCTTCTGAGAGATTATGCTTCCCCATATACTTAGAATTAATCACTTTACATAACTCCATAGCATAAATACAAATTGGAGAGTGTCATGTCTGTTTAGCAGTAATGAAACTTAGAAGAAACGAGTTTAACACAAGTTCTCATGAGTTTCATTTCATGCTGTTCTAACTATCTTTTCAGATGTTTTTTAGTCTTGATCTCACTTCTTCCTTGGCCTTCTTCCCTTAAAAATATTTTTGATTTCTGTTCTAAAGTACCTGAAAGCTGTGGAGCTGCAGAGCATCTTCTGACAGTGAACAGAGCACATTCCTTCCCCTCCTCCAGCCCCCCCTTTTACCTCCTGTAGAGGGTTTCCTTACCACGGAAATCAAGGTACTGGGGAAGAGGTTTGCCCTGAACTGAGGGTGTTGGCAGCGAGCCCACTAGATCTGCACATCTCCATTTCTTCATATTGGCATGAGGTTTCATGATGGTCCCAGTAATTTTTGGGCTGATGCTGGTCCAGTACTCTACAGAGTCCTGGCCCCAGGCACGTGTCCTGGCTGCTGGCTGCCTCTGCAGCAGTGTGAGCCCTGGAAGCATGCCATGCCTGATTTTCTTCAGAAGAAAACGAGCACACCAGGAGAATGCGGGCCAGATCTCCTAGTCTGTGGGTGAAACACAGACACATGATGCACAAGATCATCTTAATTTTCCACATAGTTGGGCCTTCTTGGGAATGTCACTGCCCCCCAGCAGAGGTTCAATACAGAAGAAAAAAACCAGACCAGAACAAAGCAAAAATCACTATGAAAATGTGGAAGTGAATGCTGATAGTATTTTTTGCCCCCAAATATGTCTGAACCCTTGGAGATAAAAAAGCAAACCTTCGAAAATAGTTTGTGGGAGATTGTTATGTGGCAGGGCAAGTCTAAAGGTGTCATATCCAGTCTGAATCACTGAATAGTTTCACAAAGGTCAGGTTTAAGAATAATTGACATGAACAATTAGATTGCAGAAATATGCAACATAGTTGTTTGTGGGTTTTTTTTTAATATTATAGCTACTGGGACTGCAAAATTAAGTTTTGACTAGCTCAGCATAGTTTGTTGTATATGCAGCAGCATCTGATCTGTGTCAGCAGTTTCTGTAAGTGACTGTTACAAGCACAGTGTGCTCAGCGTGACTTTGAAGAGCATAGGATTCTTCCTCCATCTGTATCTTAATGTATGGCATACAGCATGTGCAGGCTATATATGTGCTGCTTTGTGCCTCTGAACATGTCAGTGACCCAGCACTGCGTGTTAGCTGTGCCACAACAGAGCTGCTTTCTTTTAGAAATGTTTGTAGTTGTTATAGCTGTAAAATAATCTTGGAAATATGAACACCTCCAAACTCATGGAGGGAGTCTGCAGTGAGTACGAGGTAGTGTCTCTGAGAAGTAAATTACCATTTGTTTCACTCGGGGGCCTGTGGAGTCTACAGTTCAACAGCCGCAGGATTGTCTTTTTTTTGCACATTGTCACAAAATTCAGCGCTTTTCCAGAGCAAATCTGTATTTTGCTGTAGTGTAGTTTGATAAGCCAGCTTGCAGTTGCTCCTTGCTTCTCCAGTTTCACTCCAGAGCAAGACTAAACATGGTGCCATGGCTGCCCATGTGGTATTTTCGTGGGCTTTTGGAGGGCACCTGTAGAAGGAGCTTCAGCTGTGTGGAGAGCAGCAGAGCTGCTGGGTTTGAAGAAGCTATGATGCCAAAGCTGCAGCCAAGGTCTGGCTCTTTTTCCAGCTCTTTTTTGTAGGGAAAAGAAACAAGAGCAGAGAAGTTGAGCCAAGATCCCTGGAAAGTATGGTGAGACTTCCTTCTCTGCAAAATCACAAATGCACTGGAAACAATTTTATGTAATTAGTTTTTAATTTTACATCAACATATTGTTTCAGTTATGTCCTTCAGTGAATTTGGTACTGTTCTGTCTTTGTGTACACCAGCTGAAGGTGTGGGTATGTAGGCAAGCACAGGTGCACACATATAGAGATTTAGATGCACACCCCCATATATATATATATATATATAATGTCTAGACACAGGCACATGCTGGATGAGCAGAACCTGCTAGGGTGGTAAATTAAGGATAGGTCTTGCAGGCAGCAGCCTGACAAGTCAGCTTTTGGCTGTCCTGCACTGCTCCTAGTCTGTGTCCCTGATCAATGGTTGAAAAAGCCCATATCCACTGTTAAGATGGTCATGCTTTTAAATCTGAAAGACGCACAGATAGGAGTTATTCCTGCTTTACTGGAGCACCACAGTCACCTGAGGGGCTTGTGTTTCTGGGACAGAAAGCCTTGACTATTATCTGTGAAGGAATAAGTGGGGTGTTGGTGATGACAGTAAAAACATGTGAGCTTAGACTAGTAAGGTTTTTGACATGTGTTGCGCTCATTAGTATTAACAAAACTGACTTTATGTTCAGGCATCACCATTGTAGAGAAGCTGCAGTTCTTTGTGTACTCAGTCAGCCCACTGGAGTTTGCTGAGCACGTAGCTTGCTTGCTTGCAGTATTTTGGGGTATTGTGGATACTGTAAGTTGCTTTTAATGGACACTTTCATTGATCAATATTGTTGCAGCATGCTCCATTTCCTAAGGATAGGCTGAAGCCAGTTGTGCATCATCCAATTTTTAAAATTGACGTTGTTTTTTGTTTTTATCTTTCTGATTTATCCAACAGGGTGGACTGAGTGCCCAAGCTTTTGTTCGCATCGAGATAGAAGATATTAATGATAATCAACCTATATTTGAACAAGACATCTATGTGACAAGTATCAGCAGTCACACACAACCAGGAACAGAAGTCATCAATGTTGTTGCCACAGACAGAGATTCAGGAATATATGGCCTTGTCACATACGAACTGGTCCCAGGAGAATTTTCTTCTTTTTTCACAGTGGATACATCCACAGGTACTGTGTGAATCTGTGATTCAGAAAGGTGATAGTTACACAACATGCATATTTTCCCTGATTATACTTCTTTGATTTGCAGTCATGTCATACAGTTGAAACTTAGATTCTGATGGAAAATAATTTTAGAGTAAATTGGAGGATTTAGGTTTACCATGAAACCTTTGCATTCACTGGAATGAGGAGAAGAATGGAAAATACAGTACATGCCAGTACAATGAAGGACAAGCAGCATGCCACTTATCCACTATTTTCAGCCCTAAATCTATTCATCCTTGTAAGATATAATCAAAACATTGGCTTTTTACAACAGTATCTGAATTCCTGAAATGTTTAGGTCTTACTCTTGAGGAGCAATAAAAGAACTTTAAAGATGCTTGTCCTTCCATTTTATCTCTCTGTTTTTGTTCTAGTCTCTTCCCTTCTGTGCTAGGATAAGTCCCCATTCTGCTCACAGTCTTACAGTACTTAATCACCTCCCTGTTTGACTCAATGATTAGATTCGTGTCTTTTTCTGCCTTTTACTTCCTGGTATGACACCTCATCCTTCTGGTTTCTGGAGAGAGGTTCAGTGAAGGAGTGATGACAAGAGCAGGAAAACAATTATGGCAAAAAAAAATTTTTGTGAATTTTTTCCAAGACAGGTTGAATCTCACAGATTGAATTACTGTACAGCAGCCCCTGTAGTTAGCTCTCTGACCTTAAAATAGTTGTAAACATCAGCTGGAAAGAACATGAGTATTGCATCTACAAACACCCACATTGCCTTTCAGTGAATAGTTGACTAAACTGCAAGTACCATTTTTCTCGAGAGCCAACCCTTGTATATGAACGTATCCTGATTAACAGATGGTCATGGCACAGGTGATTATTTTATATGTTTGAAGATTTTTTTTTGACTGTGGTACATATGTGTATATATTAGCTATTTGGCATACAAAATGTTGCAAGGCTCTATTCTTTCAAAATGATGTCTATTTTTACACAGTTCCCAAAATATTCTGATGAACAGAAGAAACTAATCTGCTTAGGAAGTTGGTCTGCTTGTCTTGGCTTTTTCAGAAGTTATTTAATTGTGGACTTTTAACTACCTGTCAAATCAGATTCTCTGGGGCATAACTGATGCCAAAAATACGTAGGTCAATCAATAATTAGGGAGCTGGCTCTCCACAGGCATTTAACTGGTTATTTTAAAACTGCCCCAGCAGGCTTGTCAGAGAGAACCCCTGTGGATCACATTAGCAGCACAGGCTTTGCAGAAGCCTTTTGAAGGGCCTTTTTCCTTGAATTGTGACCTTTTGACCTCTCTTTCCAGTTTGGCACTTGGTATAGGAAAAATGTCATGCTTGATCATGAAGACTCTCTAAGTTTGTAAGTTATTATTACCTTGTGGATCTATCATGGTGTTTTATCAAAGGCAGACCAAATACAAGGTGAAGTTGGTTGAGGTCATTACTGCTGACATTTTGTGATGATAAAAGCATTTAGGTCAGAGACAGTGTTCCCAACATTATAGTGCCTGGAATCTGTTTGCACTTAATCAGATCTCCTGGGTAATTCACAAGGTTAGACTGTGTCTAATTTTATCTTATTAATATTAATGGTATGGGATTTTTTTTTTTCTGAATAGATTTTTCCTTTTATATTCTTCCACATCTACCAACAATAATGCTTATGCTCAGCCATTGGTGCGCAGAATGATTTTTAAACTCTTCAAAAAAATAAACATTATAAAAAAGAAAAGCCCATTAAAATTACCAGTTTGTCACATAGAAGTTTTTCACTCTTTGTGGATTAGAATAGCTGCAAAAGCTGTTCAGTATTCAGAGGCAGATGACAAGTGGTTCACTGTTAGAGCACAGAGATTTTGAGCTCTTCCTCACTTCTTGTTAGAACAGTGACATTTTCCAGTGTTCATTGTGCTAAAGCTGTCTTCATATTCTCTGATATATGGCCTAATTTATATGTGCCTCTCTGAAGGTTATGTGGGGAACCTCATATAGTTATGTGGGCTGTGTTTTGTGAACAGAGGACAGTGGACGAGTGTATCAGGGAATAGGCATTCTTCAGGAGATGAATCTCCAAACCTGTAAGCCAAACAAGATCATATTGCAGTTTTGGTCTTTTTTCTTCTAATCTTGTGAATGTGCAGTCTGTTACTGATGTGTTCTGCAGGTTTTCCAATTTGCAGTATGGCATATTCTGTTTTATCTGCTCTTTTTATTATTAGAAGACCTAAAAGGAGGCACAGTGATGGTGTTGGAGTATTCCGTGGATTTGCCTTACTGATAAGTTTTATTTTTTTAAATTATTATTTTTCTCACTGATAGAGCATTTAGAAAGGAGGAATGAAAATCAGTGCATTAGTAATTTTGATTTACTATGTTGATTATATGTGTATGTGGACAGAGATATTTTCAGTATTATGAGATTTAAAATAATTAGTAGCTAACAGTTTGTCAAATTACACTATGATACATTAAAATCATATGCAAAATGATGCTGTTCTTTGTGACACGTAATTTCTATTTTGTGGCATCTATATGGCATCTGGATTTGAAAATTTATCTCACTGTAATTTTCTTTGGGGATGTTTTTTGAGCGCTGCACTTAGAATACTCACTAAAAATTCACTTTTCTTCCCCATTCTCTTTCTAATTTTTTAAAGACAAAAGGATAAAACAGTAAAATAAAAATTGAAACCTGAATTCTTCACTGCTATGGCTTGCTTCTGGCTATTGCTTTGTTAAAGCAATTGTATGGATATATCAAGAAAACTCATAGTTTTTCAGTGAGCTGTGTTCACAATACAGGATATCCTATCATCTGGTTAACCACTGACTATATAGAATATATCAATACAGCTTTTGATACATAGATATTATGAGGTTGAGGCACATCCAAGCTCTTTGAAGGGGATCCATGTTTTGTTTCAAGCACTGTGACACATGAATGTTGTATATAGATAAATTCAGTGAGAAGGAATATCCTTCATTGACCAGATAGACATTCCACTGAAAAGTTTTTTGAATTCTAAACGAGTCTTTGTTAGTTATATTTGTTTGCTATTTTAGGTTTTAGACACTGCATTTATTGTTTTTGATATGCTCTTGTACTCATAAATAACATTTATTGTGTTTCCACTTGTGAAAAAGTTGAAGTGAAGTATTTTTCATTTGATTGATGATAGACTGTCCACAAGAAAAACCACTTTAAGAGCTGTGTAGCTAGAAAAATGTATGGGTAGGGAACTGTAAACCAGTTCCTCTGCTAGTTCGTGACTCTTCCTATCGTTTGTTTCTAGTGTTGGTGTAAACAACATCTTGGCTTCATTATGTTGCCTTTTGTAGATATCTGATCCATGCATGATCTATGAACAGTACTTATGAATTGATTAGAACAAGGCAAGTTGAAGAGCTCTTCTGGCTAAGAAACTGTTTCAGCTATGTTTGTTTATTTCCCATTGTTACCTAACAAGCTATCTGAAAGACAGTGTATTTATAGTTATGGCAGAGCTGGTAATTAAAAATGTAAGTCACAGGATACAACCATAAGTGTGGCAGAAAACCTATGCAGTGCTTAACTTTAAGACTTTGGAATTAACAACTGAATTTGTAACCTCTCATTTTGTTACTAGCCAATAATATTTTCCTCCACCCAAGGGCATACTGTTCCACTGATCTTAGTGATGCTCTTTTTGAGAGATGGATAAAAAGATGGTTTTCTTACTGTAGCTCTGGTTCAGGGAAGTTGTTTCAAATAAAAAAAAATTAAGAATAATCTTTGAAAATTGTTTTGGACCAGTGTGACTTCATGTGTCAGTCTTCAGGTAAATGGTCCATTCATAGTCTTAGAACAAATTCCCTAGCTAGTCACTGCGAGCAGAGAAGACTCCCATGAAGGCTAAGTAAAAGGCAGTAGCCAGTGTTTTATCTTCATTTGAAGTTATTTGTGATTTAAACCTAGTATGAAAGGGATGGAGAGAAAGTATCATTCCCACAGTGTACATTACAGCAGTATAAACATTTAACTTAGCTTCTGTTTCTTTCGACTGTATATTTAGGTTTATGTTCTGTGATTCCTATGTAAATTAGATGCCTAAAACAAAGCCTATGACCTTCCTCCTGTGTATTTTTTTGAGACTGTTTCTGTGCACCTGGTGGGTTGACCCTGGCTGGACACCAGGTGCTCACTGAAGTCACTCTATCACTCCCCTCCTCAGCTGGATGGGAAAGAAAATTATGATGAAAGGCTCCTGGAGGAGCAAGGAGCAAGACTCAGCAACTACTGTCATGAGAAAAAGAGACTCAACTTAGGGAAATAAATTTAATGTATTGCCAATCAAATCAGAGTAGGGTAATGAGAAATAAAAACTACATCATAAAACAATGTCCCCCACCCTTCCTTCTTCCTGCACTCAACTTCACTCCCAGTTTTCTCTATCTCCTCCTGCCCCATCAGCACAGGGGGATAGGGAATGGAAACTACACAGTTCATTGCAGGTTGTCTCTGCTGCTGCTTCTTCCTCCTCACACTCTTCCTCTTCTCCAGCATTGATTCTTTCAACAGAGTGCAGTCCTTCAGGAACAGAATGATCCAGTGTGGGTCACCTGTGGGGTCACAAGTCCTGCCAGCAAACCTGCACCAGCACAAGTTTCCCACGGGGTCACAACATTCTTTGGGCATCCACCTGCTCCAGCATGGGGTCCTTTGTGGGCTCCAGGTGGATAACTGCCCCATGTGGATGTCCATGGGCTGCAGGGGGACAGCCTGCCTGCTCACCATGTCTTCACCACAGGCTGCAGGGGAATCTCTACTGTGGTACCTGGAGCACCTCTTCCCCTTCCTTCTTCACTGACCTTTGTGTCTGTAGGGGTGTTGCTCCCACATACTGTCACTCCTCTCTCCCAGCTGCAATTGCTTTTGCACAGGTATGTTGTTGTTTTTTTTTTTTCCCTTTCCTAACTTTGTTATCCCAGAGGCACTACCACCATTGCTGA